GTGAATAATTTGATATTTGATGATTTTTAGTTAGTTTGTCCGGCACAACAGTCAGCAAAGTTGTCAGTTAAGTTTACGTTTAAAGGAATAAGGTATTAAAAACACACACCCAAAATGTTTTCTATATAACAACCCCAAACTAACATCTAGAGGACATGAAATTGGGATATAAAGTATTATTCCATTTAGGTGAGTGTGGGCAGCAGAAAGAGGACTTAAAATCTTTTGATTTTTCAGACCCAAGATAGAGGGCCAATCACAGAAAAAATGAACGATCAGCAACGGTCTTTCTTAGCAATCAAGCTGTATTATTAGCCGAAAATATCCAGACAACGTAACCAGACTGGTACACTAAATGTGATGGAAGTCATTTGACATCTTTATTGGGGCACAGAACATTAGCAAATAATGAAAGGCTTAAAAGATCTTTGGTTATATATTCTAAAACTAAAAATGCAATTTTTGTACACCCTGTGAGATTTATCTGAAACATGCCACTGCCGTTACATCAGCATTGTGTACTACAGGATTCACTAATTGGAAAAAAGCTTCAGAAAGATTAACTGAGCACGAAATATCTGAAATCCACAGAAAGTGCATGATTAAGTGGAAAATTCCACTACAACAAATGAAATAGTGTCCAGGTATCATGACATTAAGAGACTAATTCACACAGAAAAAAAAATGGAGAAAGATCCCACAGATGAGTATGGATGCTGAATTGTATCTTTCAACAAACTGTCTTTCTTTCGGTGGGTCTGATGAATCCCCTGGCAGTCTGCTCACAAAGTGTCCTCGGCCTAGTCAAGGCAATTGTTTTTTTAATTTAATGACTCTGTTAGCCAAACATAACTCTTAAGTACCAGTTAGAATACCTAAAGAAGGGACAAGTATCATATTTAACAAAGATAATTCAAAATGAAATTACTGGTATGATGACGAAAGCAGTTCGCAATAGCATTTTAAATGATATTAAGAGAGCCAAATTATTACAAATGTTTCGATTGCATTCCAGATATGTCGCATACAGAACAAATGAGCCAGGTGATTCAGTACGTAAAACATATGTTGTGATGTGTGTGAAATAGAGGAGAGCTTTATTGATTTCATAGTAATTGGTGGAAAGACAGGAGAATGTATTTCTCAACGGATTGTGGAAAAACTGACACTTGATGGTTTAGATATTTACCGGCCATGTTAGATCCTGGAGTACAAGCCAGGATTACAGAAATGAATAAGATGGCCGAATATGTGCGATGTTTGGATCACTCTTTGAATCTTGTCTGTGTGCTTTCTGCCTCGTCTTGCCCCGAAGCAGTTAACTTCTTTGAAATTATCCAGAAGACATTTAGCTTTTTTCTCGTATTCTCTATTCGATGAGATATTACGAAAAGATGTACAAAAACCAACTCAAAAGGAAGCAGCCAGACGAGATGGTCGTCAAAATATGTGGCTGTGAAAGCCCTTCTAACGAATTTACCAGAAGTAGTAAAATCCTTATAAGAAATTAATTATCTTTCAAAGTGCTATATCACTATTTCAAAATTAAGTATCTGTCTAAGTACGAAGCAGGACATCTGCTATATGTTGCAAGAAATTTTGAATTGATTATCAGCCTTACAATTTGCCCTAATATTCGTCGAGAAATCAGTCGAATAAATACTGAAATTCAAATGCAAGATATTATTCTTGCCCGTTCCGTCGCATTAATGGAAGGTCTGACCAAAACTTTGCAAAAAATGAGAGAAATTCCTACGGAGTATTGGATAGAAGAATTTAAATCAGCAGACGAAAAAAATTGAGGTTCAACCTATTCTGACAAATAAACGAATTCTAAAACGCAAAGAGGAATTTGATGAATTGTGCGAAGACGAATCACGAACATTTCATCGTGTTCAGCTACTTTATAATGCAATGAAAATTGTATTTAATCGAATCTTAGTAGAAATTAAAACGAGGGTAAACAGGGCTATTACACTAAATTCAAATTTCCATTTCTCAATGGTCGTGAACTATTGAATATGTCAACTGAAGAATTGCAAAAGAATGGAGCACATCTTGCACGAAAATATGAGCGAGATCTCTAAACGCGTTTGAGTTCTGCCAGGAACTTTCCCTTTTTAAACAACAAGCCCCAGTGTTATTTGTCGACATAAAAAAGGCTAGAGCTTTTTATCTCTTGCAACAGATCTACACCTATGATTTTCAGGATGATTTTCACAATATTTGTATTGCCCTGCGAATTTACTCTATGCTTCCAACTACATCCGCAAGCTGTGAAGCGAAGTTTTTTGCAAATTAAAACTTATTAAAAACTATTTGAGATCATCGATGAGCCAGGAGCGTTTATCAAGTCTCTCAATTCTGGCAATTGAAAATCAAACAGCACTTCAAGTTAATTATGACAATGCGATAGATTTATTTGCAGAACAAAAGGCTCGCAGAATAAAATTTTAAGAGCGTTAGATAAGAACTTAAAATTATTATTGAAATAAGGATTATGAGAAGAAATACAAATACTAACATTTTCTTTTCAGCCCGTATTGTTGTTACCCCGTATTGTTGTATTGTGCCCGTATTGTTGTATTTCAGCCCGTATTGTTGTATTGTGTTAATATGCCCGTATTGTTGTTATCTATAGCTAATGAAAGTTAGTTACGTAATTAATCAGCTCATCTATTGTCCTAACTTATGTAATCTATTGTTTGAACTAAAGATTATTTTTATTACGAGTGCATAATCAAAAGTATGGCCCCTCCTTTCTTTCTTACCTTCATGGTCTGGCTAGTTATTGTTGCAAATATTGCAAAATTGCGTATTTCAGAGAAAATGATTATTACAGTATAAAAATAGTCTTTTGCGTGAATATGTAAATATTTATTATATTATCGGGCTTTATGAGGACAATAGTAGAGTTCTTAAGTAGGCTACATGAAAGCGTTATTGTGAAATGAATATTTAACGTGCTAGGTTAAAGTTGTTGTATCGAGAAATTGGTAGAAAATTATTCAATCCATTGTATTAGTGATTTGTAATTTGCTTATATTTGTTTAAATTAAATTTTTTATTACTTAGTAAAATCTGATTCCCATTTTTGTGCTGTGCTGAACTATTTTAGTATTTATTGCTGAATCGTTTTCTATTAGCATCATTTATTAATGTGAGTAGGTTTTGTTATAAATATTGAAAAAAATCCCCATTTCAGGAAAAATGTAAATTTGATTATTTCAGTGCAGCGAAGAAGTAACTGCATTAAGAGGGTTCGTACGGGATTTTAATTATGTAACGTTTGGTGTGGATGTTCAGCCACCAGCGACTGAGATGTAAAGTCTGAACACTGGTAGTTCGGTCGGAAGTTAGAATCAAGCGAATTAGCTGGCTGCATTGGTGTTTTCGACGTTTCGCTCATACGTAACTTGCATATGAGCCAATTACTCTTAGAAAGACCTCCGCGAAGACATCTTTCCTCTTAGGCCTTCCTTCTTATGCTTTGCCATAAGTAAAGAAACTAAAGCATTTGTTACGTATATTTCTTTTAGAACAAAAATAGCACATAAGGAATTTTTTACTATAAAATGGATTTTACATTGTATCTCGAAAACTACCTATTTCTATGTTTATTTAAAAAACTAAAATTTGTTACAGAAACTTAAAGAAAGATGGGTAAGGGCGGCGATTTTAAGTGTTTACCCCGCCTAGGAAAAATGCTAAATCCGGCGCTGACAGTTGAAAGACCGTCAGGTTTGCACCCCACTTAAAGGATTATAATGTCTCCTATTCGTTTTCACTGAAACGGAAAGTGTGTAGCGTCCTCCATGCTTCCTCTTCATCTTATCTTTAAATTCTGTACGTTTTAATTTTCGTAAAATGGCATCACAGAAAGACTGTTCGAAAGATAAACATTCATTAGAATTTTGTTTTCAAAAAGGCCACTTGATATTTGTTCCAATCCTGTTTTCGGGGAAAGTGCAGAATTACCCACTGCTTGGCACGTTTTTAAGAATTGCACTAACTTGGTATCCATGTACCCATCGACCTATTTTCACTTTAAAAAAAAATCCCAGAATTGCACAAAAATGGCATTTGCGCACTCCCTTGACTTTATACATGTAAACATCGACCTATTTTCACTTAAAAAGTCAAAGAAAATTGATAAAAATATCCAATTCTTCCTGTAAAAAGCGCCAAACAAATAAGTCGGCGATTCTGCACTTTAACCCTGTTTTCTCGTTAATAAAATTGTTTTAAGAAGTTTTGTTCTTTACAGTATATTAGGATATTCTTCGGCGAACAGCCTTGACGCCAAGAAAGGGAGAAACAGCTTATTATGGTAGAACCACGGAGTATAAACAAGGAGGGGAAACTGGTATTACAACTTTTTCCAAAAATGGTCCACTTTTGTCGCATTATTTATAGAGGGCGCTGCAATCGTTAGCTGTTCTACTTTTCGTAGGATTTGCCATAGGCAGCAATACAGAAAATATTGATTTGATATCAATTTCCAGTATGAGTAATTCTTGTAATGCAACCTGCTTCGTCCCCGGATACAACAGTGGTTACACTCCGTGATAAACTCCGTCCATTATACTCCGTGGGTAGAACAAGGTATGGTTGCCATCCGATGATGTACTTCCTCTAGGGAAACAGCCGTAATATTAAGGCTCTCTAGACCTAGGTATATCGGAGCCTTACGTAATACTTTTCTTTTGCTAAAGGATGATCTGTATAGCAAATCGGAGCATGTATTCGAAAATATCGTGTTTACTGTTTGCTTATCAAAGTGACAGCGAAGAGTGTTAAAATAAAAATACAACATAATTGAACAAAATATAATTCTATGTATAATTATTGATAATTTATGTAAAAATAACTGTCCTGCACCTGTAAATATGTATTTATAATTATGCAACGCACTTCAAGATCATAATAGATTTATTATAGTCTAACTGACTGGGAAGAATGCTAAATCGAAAGGAACTTTGACTTCAACCCTTAATTTCTACATGTGGTTTATGTTTACAATGAGCAATTAAGGTCCTGTGTTTGTGTTAATGGGAATTTACAATTCATATAATATATTTTAAATGAAATTTAATTAATTTTTTACAGGTCAAATATGAAATTTCGAATTTTAAATCGACGTATTCAGTTGTTTTCTCATTTTTATCGGGGTTTATGTGCCAGATCTAAAAGAATAGTTTTAGGAATCGAAACTAGTTGTGATGATACTGGAGCGGCTGTTATTGATGAAGACGGTAATGTATTGGGAGAAGGCTTGAAATCTCAGATGAAAGTTCATTTGGAGTACGTTAATATTTTATATTTTGTTCGTCCATTAAAACTCTTTTTGGCAAAAGTTATTATGCTTTTCAAAACGATCGCCTGATTAATGACATTTATCATAAGCCGGCGAATATTATTAATATGTCAATAGAGAGAATCAAAATTACAATTTAAAAACAGATTTGAATTGTTAAATTAAACATTATACATGTGATATGTTGCGATTTTTCTCCCCATATAAAAAGCGACGTATTTTTGCTTCAGAAAACATAACCAGAATTGCAATTCTGGGCTTAATCCTAGTATACGGTTACTAGCATCATCTAACAATGAAAATCACCAGTTATAGCATGCCTGTATACTAGTCCCTATTTTATATCAGAAATTAGTAATGTATGGGTTCTACCCATGTAGATGGTACGTACAGAGTTTTTATGAATGCTATCCCACTGAATTATGTGATTAGCAGTTGGTTATTCATGTATGCATTTTGTAATAATAAATAAATCAGTAAATAAGTGTGTGCAATAATATACCCATTCAAATTTTGTGCAGATAAATATTGCTTACCATTGTCCAAGCTAATAACACATGATTACACCTAGATCATAATGAGTTTAGGCCCTATCTGCATAAGACGTTTATGATTTTCTAAATATAAATTAATTTTAAAAAATTCTGCATAAAGTATTTTTTTTAAAACTTAAATGCTGAAGTGTTTTGCTGCAGTAAATTAAGTTTAACTGGATGTGAAATTTGCTTAAGTATCAGTTCAAATCTTCAGGCATTTCTGAAAAAACTTTAAGAAACACATTTATGATTAAATTAACATAAATATTTTACAAGATGTTTATCTACAATAAATTACTATTCATATATATTTCAAGAGTTAAATGATAAAATGATAGCAGTTTTCTGTTAATGGGGCTCCGGTTGTTAAAAACCTGTCATCTCTCTCCCTTCTGCTAACCTGATTATCAGATTTGTAAATAGCCATCCATCAGAATCCTGCCCTACCTGAAATACTCTATGCCTTTTTTTTTTCCAACTTTTTATATTCATATAACTTTCAAATGTTACCTGAAACAACTGATAATTTTTTTTTAAATGTCTCGGTACAAATAGGAACATAAATGATTAAATCAAACTGGGGGGAAATCGCATATAATTCAAGCAGAATTGTATAAATGAAATATTATAGTAATAACAAAAATAGGAATGGAGTGATATAAAAAAACAAATATTGATAAGAAACGTATGAATGGTATTATGTGGGAAGGCAGTATTATACAATTAGTCTGTATTCCAATTTGTTATAGGAAACAAATAAATTTCAGAAATTCAATCTTAGAAATACAAAATCTTCCTGTTGGATGATGTCAAAATATTTTAAATGTCCTTACCACCAAAAATTAGAAATTGCTAGAATATCAGAGTGTATTCAGTCTGTTTGGGAAATGGGAGAAAAAAGTGTTGTCAATATAGCATGCAGTCCACTAGTCTATTTTTAGTACAGTGTGTGGTCCACCGGTAAAAAGTGGTGCAAAATACATAAATATATAGTTTTTTATACAAAATTTAGGTTGATCTTTACATTATGGTAACTTGGCGTTTTTTTGGCGAAAATTTGGCGACCAACTCTCCTACAGCAACCCTCTATTTTTTTTCCCCGCCGCCATTTTGTCTTCACGAAGTAAAGACATGTTTCTTTTCTTTTTATCTACTGAACACTTCTTCCAACAATCTACTAGCCGAATTACACTTATGCTAGAAATTTTATCTAACAAAACTGCTTAATCATGACAAATATTCACTGCAAAATTGGGAAAAAAGTGCACAATACCATACTCCTTACGCGTTTTTCAAAATAACACATACATATAAACCATGTACACACCGACTTATTTTTACTTAAAAAAACATCCCAGAATTGCACAAAAATGGCATTGCGCACACTCTTCACTATATCCATGTACACTGCTTTTTTCTCATAAATTAGAAAAATTTCACGAAAATACATGACAATTTTCTCAATCTTTAAACCCGGTAAAAAGAACATATATGAAATTACCTGATCGCGAAAAAAGTATTTACCCTTTCCAAATATGAACATTTCCACATATAAAATAAATAAAATATCCAAAAACTTTTACCTCTAAATCATCTATTACATTATACACGTCACCAACGAATTCATACCGCAAGCATTACAAATACTTAGTATCAAATATTTAAATTATTTCCATGCACGTTTATTTCAACTTAAACGTATACCAAATTCCTACAAACATAAAATTCACAAAATAACTATCATTTAATTAAAATATCACTAAACCATTTACACGCCGACTTATTTTTACTTAAAAAAACATCCCAGAATTGCACAAAGTGGCATTGCGCACACTCTTCACTATATCCATGTACACTGCTTTTTTCTCATAAATTAGAAAAATTTCACGAAAATACATGACAATTTTCTCAATCTTTAAACCCGGTAGAAAGAACATATATGTCAGATATTTATATTATTTCCATGCACGTTTACTTCAACTAAACGTTACCCAAATTCCTACAACATAAAAATTTACAAAATAACTATCATTTAATTAAAATATAATTAAAATTCAAAAACACTACTTAAAATATAAATGAGCACATACATTAAATTAATACATACATAAATACCCATTTCGAATTCACTTTAGTTACGGCCATGGGATCCAAAAAATTCACGAACACTGTTTCACACAACAGAATAAAGCCAAATACAAAATTTCCAGATTTTTTCCCGATTTCCCCCCTTTTCCGATTAAAGAACCGTAATTCGTCCATTAATATCGCATGACATATCCCATGATCTCTCATTTCCCTCACACAAAATAATGCATAATCGGAACTGAGTACTGCTCACATTATTACCAAAGTGCCAGGTAGTAACCTTTATTGCCTCCAAAATTTCGCCAAACTACCAGTTACCATATTGTAAAGATCAACCAAAATTTATTTAAAAATTCATGATATGACATCAATACCTTTAATATGTCTATGCAGCTAAAGGTACATTTATTAACCCTCTGGCTGCTCATCCTTCGATTTCCTCGGGCAACTCAAATGTAGCAAAATCTGCTCATCCCGCGATTTCCACGGGCATGTGTTTTTCTTCCTTTATTGAGGAGCACATCCCGTTTTTTCTCTGTTTAACCACTGAAATAAATTATATACAATATTAGACATTTAGTTTATGTTTTGGCCAACAGATATCATTAGTTGTCCACTAAATTCTGGCATTTGAAGGCACGGGGTATTACCGCTTAAACTCACGTTTTGCGCTTTTTTTCTTACAGAAATGGCTGCTGGAAAACATTCAGCGATTATCTTAATTATTTAATTAAATTATTGAATTATTAATTAGATTTATTGATTATATTAATAATTAGATTTATTATTAATTAGATTTATTGAATCTAGTGCAAAGACTGTTAAGTTGGACTTTGCCTTAAACCCTGTTTTGAACTCTGTCATACTAAACTGCATTTCTAAGGTATTTTTTCCTCAGTGCTTTATATTTTCTTAAATTTTATATATCTTACTTTGTATATTATGCAATAAATAGAAATGGACTGCAATTCGACTTAAATTTATTTAAAAGAATTTTTTTTTTTTGGTGATAACATCTGAAATTGGTTTTTCTGGCAACTTAGTTTGTCATGATAAAAATCTATATAAAAAAATATTTTCTAGAAAGGAAAAATACATTTTTCAATTCTCCAATATATATAGATTTAAAATATGCAAAAAAAATTGCACAATTTTTAAAGCGATTTCGGTCCACAAATTGAGCAGTCAGAGGATTAAAAGAAGCTAGGAATAGGTTGTATTCTCTTTTTCTTAGCAATTTCCAACAAAAGTGGTCTAGGTGAGATCGAAAATGTTCATTTGGTACACCTCTCATTTTCTTCATAACACTTTTTCCCTTGACAAGTTCTGTTATGAAGCTCCAAACAAGGGAAATTAATCTTTGCAAAATTGCTTTCTTAATTTCATCTATACATTTCGGATTTCATTTGTCTTAGTATCTTAGGTTTTTATTTGGCTGTTTTTAATGTATTACATTAATTGGTAAAATTCATGTCTTCTTACTGATGAGTTGGATCACACATTACCTTTGAATCTCATTTTCTGTAATATCCAAACTTTTGCATCAAATCAAGACCTTTCAGTCGATTGCATATATGGCCCTGTTGTAGGATTGAAAAATTTTCTTGATAGTAACTTTATTCTGTTAAATTTGTATGGTCTGGCTATTCATCAGAATGTATAACAGATCCAGAGGTAACTTCACTCTGAATTATTAGTATTAAGGTAGTAGTACTTAGTATTAAGGTTCAACCTTAGTAGAAGTGGCCAAATTTTTGAAATGTGCCAAACTCTGGTAACCATGTGCATAACCATTTTCTGAGAACCAATGCTCGTAACAGTCCTTCAGTCACGCAACACCACAATTTTTGTATGCATTCTTTTTTGTTGTATTCCAAGTTCCAATGGTTTTTATAAACAAACTGTGATTACGTTAGGTAATTTCCTGATAACCCCATTGACCCGTGTCATGCATAACTAATGTGATATCACATGTGTATAAATTGTAAACCACCAATTAATGAAACTTGATTGTTTTAAAAAAAAAGTATGGTTTATAATACATTCCTTTTAACAAATAATTTATGTATTAAATTAATAAGATATTTGTTCAAATTTTTGTATTTTTAAAACCCTACATTCTTTAAAAAAAAAAAAAAAAAAGCATAGAGTGTTAATTTTTCGTGATTCTACGTGTGTGAGTACACAGTCATTACCATGAAGACAACTGTGATAGTCTGCGAGTGCTGTATTCCCAAGTGTTTGTAATCCATGCTTATTTTTTAAAGTAAACAAGTAGAATTTGTTTTGATTAAAGAGGTGACTTTATCATATTTTTGAAATTATTTAGCATTTTCTGTGCATGTTTTAGCATCCTGTTTTCATGGATTTTAAATTTGGGGTTTTGAATCACTATTTTTGAGTACATATCTAAATGTCTTTCTAAAAATAATTTTGAATTTGTCTGGTTAACATTTATAAAGAATTTATTTATCTGGAGCAATTGAGTTTCAGTTTGAATGCACCTCCTTATAGCTGATTGTTTACATTTTGTGCAATGAACATGCTTGTTTACATTGGTAACAAATACACACGGCTGGATTTAGGCATCATAAGGCCCTAAGCTGTTTGAGATTATGGGTGCCTTTATAATTCTGTTATACTATATTTTAATGCTATATTCATACTATATTTTAATTTTGGGGGGGGCCAAGAAAGTGAGGCCCTAAACTATAGCTTGTGTAGCTCATATGTAAATCCTGCACTGCAAATACTGACAGATTCTTAATAACATCCCATTTAGAGAATTTTCAGTATTTTTTCAGATTTCAGTATAAAATCATCCAAAAGTTCATTGTGAGAGGTAGCCTAGGTTATTTTTTTCTTTTCATCAATAAGCTTTTATCAGTTTCCAAAATTTTGTTGCATCCTTTGATTTTAAAGTTATCAAAGTTTTAAAGTTGTACTTAATCGCTGTAAACTGTCTTGTTATGATTTGATTGAAGAAAGCTTTAATCCACAAAACTCAGTAGAAGTTAACAGCTTGAATTTTTAGTAAATGAATCTTATAGCAATAATATAAAGAGTGTGTGATCCAAGAGACCACATTTGTATTTGGAACGCAATTTATCTTTGAGCATGAATTAAGCCATTTCGGCTTCATGTCATGTTTTAATTTCACTTTGAACTCGATCTTTCTTTGTGAAGAATATCTCTTCCTTGAAAAAACAAAATATCCTCTTGTGCATCTGTTGGCAAATTCACTGCAGTGGAAAAAATTTTATTCTATGAAACATTTGGCTGCACTAGGAATGATTATAAAAGCAGTTATTGCCAGGAAAGAGGCCAAATCAAAGTGATGGCAACTAGCACCAAAGAAATATGTCAGAATAACAAAGATAGAAGTGGTATGGGTTTAATGGAAATGTACTGAATTTTCTGTACTTAAAAATTTAAATAGAGTGACAAGGAGAAGGTATTAAAAACTAGAGAAATTAGGAGAAGGGAATGCATAGGAAATCAATCTGTCAATTCCAATAATGGGTTCTTTAACATTTATCTGATGAAGTGAATTGAATGATTTGAATGATGAAGTGTTTACCATTCCTTTTGACAGCGTGATAAGGACTGTTGTACAGTTATGTCAGTAGTACTTTTATTGTACTCACAAAAGCATGAGACTAAATCTCTAGGGAAAAGTGCAAAAAACGGAAAGGTTTAATATGTGCAGAAATAGAAGCTAGAAGTAGTTCATGCATGGTGTTGCATAGATGCTGGAGATAAACTGCAGGATCTGCCTGCAACAGGTAATTAGAGAGCTGAAAATTAAATGTACAGTCAAAGGATTAAGATCATGTCCAGGTCACCACTATATTATATCAAGTACACAACTATAGTTTGGGTCACCACTGTCCTATATCAAGTATACCACTGTAATTTAGTAGTCATAAATTCATTGTCCTGGAAAAGAAGTGATTCACTTTGTAAAATAACTAGTAGTCATCTAGACAACATAACAGCTTTTATATTAAATAAAAGTAGGTTACAAGGATGCATGCATCTGCACATGAACATGAATGGAATTACACTATTAACTGATATACAGGTATGATTACAGTTATATACATGCAATTTGTTTACAGTTTTAGGTATATGAAATAACGCAGTTAAAATGTATATATGTATGTCATAATTTTTTGTAAAAACTGTTGGAACTTAGAACGTAACAAAAAGAATGCATGTCAGAGTGAAGAATTGCTATGTGTGTGGTTACTAGAGTTGGAGAACTTAAAATTTGGTGACTTTTTCTCAAGTGGTTGCACTAATATGCGAGTACCTCATGCTGAAGCTTTTGGAAACTAGTGTTATAATATAATTTTGTCTTATAAATTTCTAGCAGCAAAAAGTCTAAATCAAATATTGTACAATGAATTTATGTAGCATGAGTGAATATAGATTTGCATTCATTTTTTGTAAAATTCTATGTGCTTTGAGATTTTTTTTTTTTTTTTTTTTTTTTTTTTTTTTTTTTTTATATATATATATATATTTCATACAGGAATGGAGGGGTCATACCTCACATTGCAGTTTACCTCCATGAAGAAAGCATTGAAGATGTTGTTTCTACTGCCTTAACAAAGAGTAATGTTAAACTTCAGGTACAAACTTGTAAAATTTTTTCCCCTTTCTTGGTAAATGATGTGTGCTGTCAATGTTTTTCCAATTCTATACATAGAAACTAATAGTGATATTGTGGATAAAACCATAGATACTAGTAATTAATCTCAAGTTTATTCTGACAGCTGAGCAGACTAGTTGTTACTAGTACAGGTCAAAGTCTGAATTGAAACTGACAATTCTGGATCTGGGATTTTTCTGGGTCAGTCATCAATTTTAATCTGGTAAGATGTGTGGAAATTATGAAATTAAAAATATGAAAATGTGATTTAGGGAATTATAATATATTTATGACCCTAATGAATCAAAATTTACAAAAAGGGGGGAGGGGAAATGAAAAATATATTTATTTCTTTGTTAGACATAGTTTGTTGTTCAGTCTTAAAGTTCCATTCTTCAAGTCCTGTAATAGCCATGTCAAGAATTCCCACTAAGCAGTTGATCAACATTTTTTTAATTCTCAGCAAATTCTCTGTCACTTATTTTTGTTTCAGATGTATGAAAAGTAAAATGGTGGCTGCGGAGGGGCAGAAATATTAATCATAGAGATGTATGCTGATAAATGATTGTTTCTTCAGTATGGAGATACTTTATTCAGTGCCAAAGTGAAATTAAGAATTTGGACTCTGCATGTTTTATGAAGAAAAAATATCAATTGCACTTATCCAAGAGTAGCATATGCTTAATGCTTAATGCACACACAGTAGACATTTTTCGTAGTTAAGCATGTGGAGGGTCCTGATTCTTAATTTTATTTTGGCACCAAATAAAACACCTCTTTGATCACTAATTTGGCTAACTGCTTGGCATTCATCTTAAACCAAAGCATTCTATCAAAGTTTTTCTTTGATTTTACACCTACTGAATATCATATAATCTTTATGCCAACATGGGGAATTATTTTTTTGCTTTCATCACCACATGGCCATCAATTCACAGCTGCTTGAGAAATGACAGCAATGTCTAAAACAATTTCTGTTTTAAATATCAGTAACTGAATAGCAAACAGCATGGTAACCTTCATGCTGGCATTATGCTTGGCTACAATTACACAATTCAGCCATCTTCATTGTGAAGTTTGTTAACAAGTTCAAATTTAGCATAAATTTCTAAAAATAGATTTTGAAATAGATATTCATAATCCATTTAGTGCTGTTTGAATTAAGAACAGCAGATGTGTAGTTCTGATAAACCTTAAGAGTAATTTTCCTTTATGCACTTGTCACGCTTTCGTGCTTTTTGGCACAAGGCATGCTTTACACTTTTTGACATGACCTATTGGCCATCACCTGCTATGTGCTGTGTGTTTCTTCTATTGATTGACTATTCTTATAACTAGAAATTCTTTACAATTAAAAACCACCAATTTGCATGGCAGATACATGATGGAAAAGTATCCCATAAATTAAATGTGTGAATTTATTTCTTCGAGCTTCAGGTAAGCCTTAAGCATATGTGGGAAACAGACCTAAGTATAAAGTATAATAAATAATAAAACTAACATAATTCAGGTTTAACTTCCTTAGTGCATGATAGGAGCAAGACAAATTTTAGTGGAACAACATTTGCCTTTAGTTACCAGTAGTGTATAGCAGGCACTTCCTGAGCTTTATAATGATAGTCGCAAATTTGAAGGTTTTCAGGTATCACAAGCAAAAAGCAAAATTTTCCAATTAATAGAATTTGTGAAGAAATGTAGAAAAGTAGTAATAAATGAAGATAATATAACAGGAGGTTTCATTGCGAGGACAATGATTTTCTAAATCCAGAAAATATCACTGTTGGCAGTGAAGAAGAGAGAGAGGTTGCCGAAAAGGACAAAATTTCAATGGACAATTTAATGGGAATTCCTGACATGGCAATTACAGGACTTGAGCAATAAAACTTTCTAATGTAACAAGAAATTATGTATATCTATGGAATTAAAGAGAAAGAATGCAAAAAATGAAGCAACTTGCATTGAGAGAAATATTTAATAAAGCAAACAAATAAATGTTAATTTTTTTTTTTTTTTTTTTTTTTTTTTTTTTTTTTTTTTTTAAAGTTTAACTCCCTGAAAAGAACCTAAATGCTTCACCATTTCATATTTTTAATTTTTTAATTTCTACCTGTCATCTTACTAGATTTAAAGTAATGATCTAAAATCCCTAAATCTCCCAAATCCAGAATTGTTTAAGTCCAGATGAGTCTGGATCTTGAACTTTGCACTTTCTCTGTTTTAATGTGATTTGCAATATGTGAATGCTATTTAATGTATTTTTTGACTATTTGTTATCAGATTGAATATGCAGTCCTTTTTGAGATAGTCAATCTGGAATCTCTCTTTGTATGTACAGTCCAATGTCTAAAATTTTGGGCATCTAATATCCACACATCCTGACTACAAGCCGAAAAAATAAATTAAATTAAATAATAAAAAAAAAAAAATATTCTCCTCTTACAAAGTCAAGGAATGTTTATGATAGTGTTCAATAAAAGAAAGAGTGTTGTAAGTGTGATTTTTCTTCTGACTAACTGAGATTTTTACATGTCACTTTCAAACATCTGCTGGTTAGGGAAGTTGTATTTTGACCAGTGACAACACATTGATTGAGTGTGTTGATGTTTGCTAGGATCACACTTTCAGCCCTTGAATAGTTGTGGGAGGGTAGCATTTTCCTAGCTGACCTAAATAAGTGAAAATATTACCATACCTATGTGTAATCATACTAAATTTAAATTGATGTTTTAAAATTGAGAAATCTGGATCTCGGAAATTATACTGTGTTATGGCTTCTGTTGTTATTAATAAATGCTAGTGCTGCCATCTAGGGCATAAAATATTACTTTAGAAGGAAAATATATGTATAAATATAATTTTTGCAACAGTGTTGATTTATCATTGTTTCCTATTTAAAGTAAATTAACCTTTTGCAGGATTTGTCTGCTATTGCTGTGACCACCAAACCTGGTTTGAGAGGATCCTTAAAAGTAGGAGTAAAGTATGCAAAACATTTAGCATCTGCCTGTGGTAAACCACTAATTCCTATTCATCACATGGAAGCTCATGCTTTAACAGCTCGCCTTCTCGAAAAGTAAAGAATAATATAATCAGTTTACCATTATTTAAATGTTCAGTGCATTCTTCCCTTTTTGCTATATGAATGTCATATTTCATCATCTTTTGCATTTTGTATCATATAACTTGGCATTGAAATTAAAACTATTCTTCTGTATTCATAAAGCCAAAAATGTAATATTTTTGGTTTTTAACTTTTTGAACTACTTATATCCTGGAAAGTATATATATATATATACTTTCCTGTTGACCATAATTTGTATCTGTAAACTATCTAAATAAATAAGGAACAATTTATTTCTTCTAATCTTCTACCAGAATGTTAGGCATGAATTAGAGCTAATTTTTATTTAAGGTGATTATATACTATACCTGTAAGCTGTATATGTTGATTATTTAAGTGAAGAAGAATCAAGTTCATTCCAAATTTCTGATAGAATGGTGGTGCAAACTTGGCATCCACCAAATTTTATATCCAACAAAAAGATATATAAGCAATTTTCTTACTCTTTAACAAAATATTCAGTAATTTCTGATTATCCACATTCACCAAAACATCACAAACAAGTATACATGAAGCAGAGCAGAATGCCACCAGAATTGTTATGGCTATGGCTTGGTTTATCTGATTATGGCAAAACCTTGAGGGCTATCTTCCTAAGCGGAGAGATGCTTGCTTTCATGGAGGACTTTCTAAGGGAAACTGATTTGTATACATGTTACACTTGGGAAAAACATCAAAAATGCTCATGCAGCCAGCAGATTCATGAGATTCAAACTTTGGACCGAACTACCAGTGTTCAGCGACTTTACCACTTGGCCGCTGGTGGGCGTGTTATGGCCATGATAGCATCCAATAGTATGACAATGTAGGTATGCACACATCACATTTACCTTAAGGAAATCAAAAATTTAAAAAAACACTCATTATTTATTTGCTGACTCTATTAAACATTTCTTTCAATGTAAGTTGTTAAAGTTGCTTCATTTTTGTGCCAATATTTTCTCTTTAATTCTATAGATAGATGTAATGTCTTGTTTGGTTGCAAAATTCAATTGTTCAAGTCCTGTAATAGCCATATCTGTCACTTTCTTCACTTACTGGTAGACCAATCACTAAATATTTTCTGGTTAGAACCATACTATAAGTTTAACCATCTGTTAGTTGATTGGGGCATTGTCATCACAATGAAAAACTTACATCATCTTCATTTATTACTACTTCTCTCATTTCTTAACAAATATCATTAATTGGATAATTTCACTTTTTTATGATATCTGAAAACTTTCAAATTTGTGCTATCATCATACAGCTTAACTAGCATCCACTATGCACTAATGGCAATGTATCATGTTATTAGTAACTAAGATATGCTGTTCTGCTACGTTTTGTGTTGCTTCTGTCACATGCTGTCAAAGTTAAACCTGTTATCTGTCATACCTATGGCTATTTTCTACTCATGCTTAACCACTTGCGCTATGACTAAACTTCACGGTTGCGGTGCCATGCGCTACAATATAACAAGCAGTAAAGTGTCTCATTTACGCGTCTGCAAGTGCAATCCAGAGCTGTAACTCGAAATAAACAATCTCGTTATTTACATTTTTGCACGCGGTTTGAGACAAAAGCATCTCAACGTGTGTGACACGTCTTTTTAGTGCAAGTGGTTAAAATTTATCCAAGTCCCAAATAATCACATGCACTTAAAGTTTATCCACTTGATATTTTGCGACACTGTGCAGTCTTCGCAGATCTTAAACTGTGCTGCTAAATGCCTCCCTTCTAAAAATTTTATATCCTAGTACCTTCCCTAAACTCTAAAGATTTTGTCATCCCTTAATTTTGTTGCCCAGTGTTCTTCTAAATTCTAAATTTTTTCCTTCTCTTAAGTCTGCCACCCGGTTGGTCACAGCAGGTCTAGTGCTGGTCTTGGACTGAGTTCGAACAACACTAAATGTTATCTTTTGACCTATGAGTATTATTTACATTTTTTTGTTCATATAGAAAGAAATTTCTGTTAATTTTTTTCTTGTCAACTAAACCAACTACACTGTGAAATGCTGAGTGTTCTTCTTTGAGAGAAATAATCTGGAGTGTTGAAGTGATGAACAGGAAAGTTTGATAAAAGTCGTCTTTTTTTTTTTTTTTTTTTTTTTTTTTTTTTTCTCCCAATTAAGCAACGAGTAGTTAAAAAATAGGTTTGAAGTAATCCAGGAGCTAAAGTGGTCTCTTGAAAAGAAAAGTCTTTAAATCGAATTTCAGCACCAGCAGTTGTTGAGCAGTTGAGGCTGTTAAATGCTAGGAGTTTCACCTGGATTTGATCCCGAGCAAACAGGCTAACTATGTTTTTATTGTTTTCCATATGTGTAATATGTATACAAGCCAGTTTCCTTTTAAAGTCGTCATCTTAAGTTATTTGCCGTAGTCGAATAATTTGCTTGACCTAAGACTGAATTTCAAAGAGACTATACTAAAGTAAATTATTTAAAATTATGTCCAGAACACAAGTGTATAAGCTAAATGTACTAAATCCTTGAAATCTGTTAAAAAGTATAAAGAGCGTACTCTTTTAATGATGAAAGTTTCGTAGATATATGATCCCAAATTTTCACTTTTTGGTACAAATGAAAAATATCAAGAATTGATGTGGACTCTTTATAAAAAAATGGAGGTGGCAACATTCTTCATTAATGGCATGCTTTACTGCTAAAAGAATTGGAGATATATACAAAGTAGATCAAAATATATATATATCATCAAATTCGAATTCTTCATATGTGATAGCATTATAGCTTAAAAAAATTGTCATCAGCTGGACATGATATAAAACATGCCTCACTGCTCTTTAAGAACTATTAAATAAAAATGAAGTAATCTCATTGAATACATATGGAATTTTACATTTCTTAAAATTCTGGGTTACCTACTTTGGCAACATAGTATATTGCCCTGTGATTTTTGTCAGAGTTTGGCAGGTGACAAGTGAGAGCTGGATCCGGACATCTGGGTGGCTTTCACTGACTATTCGGGTATCGTTCAGATCCCGCAACTGTCCAGAAAAACAACATTGCCAAACAGAGACCTATTGCGGTCTTACAATATCAATGCTTATTATACAACATATGACAACATAGAGATACTTTACATCAAAAAGTGTTACTATGTTGAATTACCACAGTAGTAATACACTTGATATATTAATACGTACAATAATAAAAGTTTTAATAAAGTCAGAGTTTGGCAGATAATCAAAGATTAACATTTTTAATTTAATCCTTTCTAACATGCTACCTTTTAAAGTTGGAATTTCAACAACAACAACAAAAAAAAAAAAAAAAAAAAATGTAGTCCTCTTTAGGTCTAGAGTTCACAGGTAAAATTTTGTAAAGATAGCACTTGCTGTTTTAATTTTGTGAGTGTGCCCGAGACAGGCTCACCCCTCCAAAAAGTATCTCCCTGCTCTCCATATCAGATTCACTATCTGAAAACTATTCATTTAATATTTTTAGCACTTCAGATATGGTCAGCCCTCTCCAATCAATTTGCATATCAATTATCTCAATTATCATTAAAGTCAGAAAAAAAGTAAATTAATGTTATACCTACAATTAAGAAAATTTAAACAAATTAAATTAAATGAACATCTGCAACTCAAAAAGTATAAAAAAAAAATAAAAAAAAAAAAACCATCCCCACCCTCCTCTAGCCCTCTTCCAAGGTAAAAAGAAGGAGAGAATGAACATTAACAAGGAATATAAATCTCATCTTTATAGAAGAAGCCAGAAAAACTTCTGGGGTTGCTAAAGGTAAAGAATTAGAATCAGCTTTGGTAATATATCAGTTCCTATCAGCTAGCCGACAAGTGCCGAATCTATTTTTGTAGATTAGTTCTATTTGATTTTTTATTATATAAGGGAATACAAAAAAACAAATTATGCCTTGATTATTGAAGGTAAAGAAAATTTTATTGAGCGACACACTACAGTATGATGTGGATATGTTATACTATTTTTCGGCTTAATCACAAGTCTCTGTAAACACTTATCTGAATGTTCAACTAAATGTTAATTCTCTGATGTTACAAAATTTGTTCCTTGCTCAAGGAGCCATTGTAGAACTGCTGTTTACATCTTCTAATCATTAATAGTTTATTGTTCTCTTATAAAAATATCCTTATGCAATTTCTGTGGTTATTTACAGATAATAATAATAATATGATGAATATTATTTTGATCCAGAAATAAGGCTACTGCACATTGTCTTCTCTGATCAATATAATGACTTTCCTTACTAATCAGCATCAGTCATATCTGGGCACTGAACTATTTTCACCATTTGATTGTAACTGGACGTGGCATTGTTCCTGTCTCATTCATAACATTACAATAAATTTCAATACAGTTAAAATTTTTGCCTAGATAATTTGTACTGTTTCTCATAACCTGGGAATAAGCTTCTAGTTAATGCATTATTTTGCTTTTGTGTTTTAATGACTCTCATGAATGTAATTTATTTTTGAATCCTCTCTATGAGATAACTAACGATGTAGGAGTTATTTTGTAATACATTAGACATATAAAAATTATACTTCAATGAAAGTCTGAAATATATTGAAATGTTTAAGTCAATTTCAATTGAGTCAAACTGTGATGAAGGTAGGTAATATAATAGAAGAAATATGTAATCTCTTTTTTTTTTTTTCAAAGCAGCATTAGATTATGATTTAAAAATATATAGTATACATCATTAATATCCATTCCAGATCTTTTGGCATGTACCAAACAAATTTGTCTAAAAACAAATAAAAGGAAAATAATTAATCCTTTCTTATTAAAAAAATTCTATTGTTATTATTGTAAATACTGTTTAATACTAAAATACGAATGCAGAGCAAATTAAATACTGTACATAAATGAAGCACTTCACATTATACTGTACATAAATGTTTTTCTGCCAAATTGTTAGGTAAAACGCAATCTTTTAACATCTGTAATCTTTGACTGGTAATCAGTTTCACATATTTCTCAACGTTAGCCAATTTAATATCATCTTAGCCACTGTATTTTTAAAAATGATTTTAATTTTAGATGGTGGAATAATCGCCTGGGAAAAAAATTTTTCCTTAACGTGCTCAACAGAACACTATTTTGTTAGCATGCTATTTTTAGTGTGCTAAACAGAACTTCTGGTAAAATCAGAAGGCATAACAAAGCAGCAGAAAATGACAGCTTTTTTACAAAGCACTAAATTGAAGCCCATTGAATACTTCTGCATTGTTAGCTATTTGTTGGATTGTGCAGAGAGACTACCTATTGTTATTGTTTATGGTAAAAATTTCAGATGGTAGTGCAGCTCAGAATTTTGTAGGAACAGTTGATGCAACTTTGACAGATCTCTGCCAACTTTCATGATTCAGTGGTACTTTCATAGTTTGCAGCCAACAGGATAATATATAAGTACCCTTTGTTCTCATTATCTGAGAAATATAGCAAAATACTAAATTTGTCCAATTTTCTTTAAATTTTTTAATGTAATTTGGGGAAAGGCTGCAAATTCAACATTAATTTTTAAAAGGTTGATCTTTTGATAAGACCTTGTAGATAACCTTATAAATTATTTATTTGCTTATTAAATTTGCTGATTGATGGATGAAGTGGTTGTTTTTTTATGCATATTATTTGTCCTTTATTATAATTTTTTGAAAAATTTGATATATCTCATATAAAAAATAATTTTAATATTTTAAGTTTTGTGACTGGTAATTAATATTTGTTATCACTTTTCCAGTGTTAATAGTTTTAGTCTAACATATTTTTTAATCATTTCTTTGTCTATGGGATATTATTTATTTTGATCCATTACACAGGTCAAGGAACTTATCCTTATGGAATCACAATTGATTATCTGTCAAATAAAAAAATCTTCATCAGGTACTTCAAAATGTTCCTTTTAATTTATTAGCATATTTTAAGCTGATAAATTAAAAGCAGCAGTTTTAACATGATCATCATGAATTTAGGTCTTATGACCATTCAGTTTTTATTTCAAAAAAAGATTGAAACCAATAAACAGTATTTTAATAGTTAGTTTACAGCTATCATAAGTGCATATTGTTATTCATTAAAACTCCGTTTTTGCTTTCTAGCATAGAATTTCCTTTCCTTACCCTTCTTGCCTCTGGTGGACACTGTCAAATTGCATTGGTGAAATCTCTTCAAGAATTCTTGCTGTTGGGAACATCATCACATAACTCACCTGGAGAAGTATTAGATAAAGTAATAACTGGTTTTAAGCTTGGAAGTTAGTATTTCATTACAACCGTACCAAATGATTTGCAAATTTATATGCATAAAGCTATTTTTTGTTCTGCTCAGTTAAGTGAGCAGTTCTGCTGAGTTGACTTTAATGAGTTAATTTACCATGATCTTGTGTCTGGGTAATATTTTGCATCAAATGAAATGTTTCTGAAAATGCCTATTGTTAATATTAAAAGTTTATTTTGTACGTTCATAAAAATAATATAATGCCACCTTTATGGTGTACAAAAAATTTTTCTAAGCATTTGTAGTATATGAAGATTGTATCGTACCAAATCTAGAAAATTCTGTTTGTTTTTGGTGAACATAGATGAATTTTGTAGTAATTAATAACCACTTTGTTATTTAAAAACTATCACATTCTACTTTATGTTTCAAAAACATTAACCCTCCTGGCATTGAGATTTTAACTGAAATTTCAAAGTTCCGCAAAACTTATGAGTAAGTGGTATTTTCTTGATCAAATTCCAAAATGAGCCTCTCACTTTGCACCTTGACTCCTTTTATTGCAATATACATCCCACCCAAAATCAGGTACATCAGGAGCTGTCATAAATGTTCATGTGTAATGAACTAAAAAGCCATCCTTCAATCTGGAATTTTACGTCCAAAACCCTTGGAGGGTTAAATTAAAGCCTTCAGAATTGCCCTCTGTACTTGAACAGGACATAGTTTTCAACAGGAGACAAAATAGTCTCTCTTTCTCTCTTTCTCTCTCTCTCTCTCTCTCTCTCTTCCCCCCTCCATATTCTGCTTAAGAACTCAACATCATAAACTTTCAGTATTAGGCCCCTTTATGAGATTACTTTCTCAGGAAAGAGCTGCTTAATTAAATTGACTGAATGCCTGTGTACGCACAAGTATCATTAGATTTAAAATTATTCCAATTATGTATTCATGGATTTTATTTTGTCTGCATTCATTCAGGTGGCAACACTTCCTTAATAATATGAAGAACTGAGGCATATTTTGTACCTTTCTTTTTGAAAATTTTCAGGATTCAAAGTAAGCCGTTTTGTAATTTCACAGGAAAAAAAAAAAAAAAAAAAATGCTGTGCTAAAAATCAAAATTAAAAATTGATAAAAGATATTTATAATATTTTTGTATCAAAATTATATCAAGTTTAAATTCAAAAACTCAAACAGTAAGAACAGAACATGAAAAATAAAGTTTTGAAATCAGATTAAAAGAGAATGCTGACTAGAATTCTTAGTTCAAACTGAAATTGGCATGCGATTTAATATTATCTAATGAAATGTACATCTATAAGATCTATAAGATTAGGACTGAAACATTAATTCATACCTAATAAAAAAAGTTATTTTGAAAATGAATCAATATATACCCCAAGTTGACTAAGAAACTTGGAAATGAATTTATGAAAAGATTTTTAGATTTCGAGATACGTGAAAGAAAAGTAAAATGGCTTTAAGATTCATTTGGGGAATGTTGTCATTGATGCTGTTTATGCACTTTTTAACTTCTGTATAAATACATATTAGAACTTTATGAATAGCATGGAGAAAATTAGTGATAATATCTCTTGAAGTCTACTAGATCAAAACAAGAATTGTTATAAAATTGGCAACATTTTAGAATATTTGAAAAATGATAAAACTTTTCCAAAATATACCGGCAATCCTTTTCCCCTTGTCTTTCCCCTTCCTACAGAAAAGATATTAAAGAATAAGTTCAGTTTGAGTCAAAATATACTATGTGTAGTCTATGCTTAGTCAGCAAGTTCCCAGTTCTCTTGCTCCTTTCAGATTCCTGCATACTGATTGCCAGCAATAAGTAATCTTATATTTTAAGGAATAAATCTATATGATAGGATTGTTTTCCTAAAATGATTAGAGCAGTGTATCTCGGAATTGTGATTGTTATATTTCATTGCATTCCATTGAGTATGATCAATTTAATAAATCCCTCGCCCCCCCCAATGGAGAGAACAGTTGATTAGGAATGGCCAAATTTAGAACATTGCCCAAGGTGCAACACAGAAAGCAGACCAAAATTATATTTGTGAGAAGAGGAAAAGGAGATATGCAAAACAACCAAGCCTGACAGTGGGCTCGAACCCAGACTTTGAGTTAAGGCTAATAGTTAGCATCCACTAACTCCTAGACTGCTCAGGATGAGAGTTTAATTTATTATGGAATTTAATTTTCAATTGAAATACTTTAGGTTTAACCTTTATGCAGTAAACAAGTTTGCTGATCTCTTTTGTTTCCCGTGCCCAAACCTTAGGGATTAGCATTATTAGTTAGTGCTGCAAAATATGAGAAATCAGTTTGTTGCAGTTTGCATATTTACTACATGTGCTATTAAAAGCTGGTAAATATGAAAGTTTCCAATTCTTGGATTTAGGTATGTAATAACTTGAAAAACGGATGAAAAGTAAATTAGCAGTACAAGTAAACTACATGTTTTAGAAATTCTGAACATGAAAAATAAATCTAGAAATGTCATTATCTCACTGATTTTATACATGAAAGGCTTACAGGAAAACAGAAAGTAATTTTTATTTTTAAGTAAAGTAAGAAAACTAAGGTTTATTATTATATCTTTTTATATTTCTAATGTTTTAATTGTTTAATTTTTTTTGCAACTTTTGTTTGAAATTATTTTAATTACACAAAACAGCAAATGTGTTGGGGAGTGATCTTCTTGTGTAAGAATATTTAAATCTTTAATCAAGTTTTATTCTTGATTTAAACAATGATATATTTTTTAATTTTTTTGGGGGGGGCACATGATTTGGTTTTTATAATTACTTCGTGCATTATAAAATGACAAAACACATTTGCTTCTATTAATTCTTGTGATATAGTCAGAAATTGTTTTATTCCCCTTGAAAAATCAATTAATTTCCAATTATTAGCAATAATTATTTAAATCTTTACTTTTATTTACTGTATTTTTATAAAAGTGGCTCAAATTTTAATTTTGCCTAAGTATTGTTGTTAATAAATTATTTCCTTTTATGAATCTTCTCATAAAAATGGACAATTATTAATATTTATTAATTTACCTTTTTTATTAATATTCACTATTTTTATTGATATGAACAGTCCCCCCCCCTAAGAGATAATCCCAAAACTATTAACCCTCTGACTACTCAATTTGTGCACCAAAATCACTTCAAAAATTGCGTATTTTGAATCTATATATTGGAGAATTGAAATATGCATTTTTTATATAGATTTTTATCATGAGAAACTAAGCTGTTAGAAAAACCAATTTCAGATATTATCACACAAAGAAAATGTGTTTTAATAAATTTCAATTGAATTACAGTTCTTTCTATTTAATATTTATATAAAAAAAATAAAATGTGTAAAACTTTTACTATTATTCACTGAGAGAAACTATTATTCACTGAGAGAAAAAAGTACCTTAGAAATGTAGTTTAGTATGACATAGTTTGAAACAAGTTTCAAGGCAAAGTATATCAAAACTAAAATCACTTTAAGAATCTGATAAATCATCAGAAATATGTACTCTGTCAATCACTGAATGTTTTCTAGCAACCATTTCTGATTAGAAAAAGGCAGCAAACATAGTGAAATTAGAGTGGTAAATACGAAGTACCTTCAAATGCCACAATTTAGTGGACGACTAATGACATCTGTTAGTCAAAACCTAAATTAAACATCTAATACAGTATATAACTTATTTTGCTGTCTAAACGGTGAAAAGGCGAAATGCATTCCTCAATAAAGGATGAAAAACACATGCCTGCGAAAATCGCGGCATGAGCAAATTTTGCTACATTTCAGTTGCCTGTGGAAATCACAGGATGAGCAGCCAGATTATTAATATATCTCAAATTACTAGCAAAATCTTCTATCCAAACTACTTAACTACCATTCAAAAACTACTTAAATACTCATATATATATATAATATTAATTTTGTATTTAAGATGTTTTGGTTTAATTTCAGATAGCTCGAAGATTAAAGTTACAAAATTTGCCGGAGTGCTATGAGATGAGTGGTGGACAAGCCATTGAATTCATGGCAAAAGATGGTGATCCATTAGCATATAGTTTTCCTTATTCATTGACTCATCACAGAGACTGTAACTTCTCATTTTCAGGATTTACATCTTTCGCAACTAAAACTATAGAAATCGAAGAAGAAGAATATGGTACATTATATTATATATTTGATACATTATAAATAATGATAAAACTATTTTTTATTGAGAATATAATTAAAAATTTTTTAAATTTTCTTATTTCTTAAGAAACTTGAAATGTTGTTGCTTTTTCATTCACTGTTTTTTTTTTTTTTTTTTTTTTTTTTTTTTTTTGTTTTTTTGTAGTTTGAATCTTTAAACTTTTTTTAATTTAAGAGCTCATCACCCTTTCAAATGATGCATTCAACATATTTGTTGTCATGAACAGATTCTGAATGATGTCACATTTTAGTTGGAGCCATAGAGCTATTTGGGAGAACTTTGCTGCGTATCACACACTGAGGATTACTGTGATTGTTCATGGATTCTAAAGACATAACTTACATCATACATTCTAAATTTTTTAGTAACTGCTGTGGTGTTATTACTTGTAGAAGGACTCACTGGACTTCTTCTGGGATGATTTCATTTGTATTACTCTGATATTATTATCATTATCTCTAGCAGCTGAGCTAGTTGTTGAATTCAAAGCAAAAACCATAATCAAGCAGAAGAGTCAAATTCTATAAAGTTCTGTAGTAGGATGCTTTAGAGTGCCTTTTTTTAAGACAACTCTTCATTCTGCAACAAATATTAGAAACAATTTTTAAAACAGAAGTACTGTAACAATTATCTATTAAGACCAAATAAAATTTAAATTTGATAATGTTAATAGCAGAATATAAAATACAAACAAATTATTATTATAATAATAATTTCTAGGTTATAAAACTCCAAAGACAGAAAGTAACAGCTGATCTCCATCTGCTCTGGATGATGTGGTGCTCAGTAAATACTGGTTATTTTCCAAGCAAACTTTATTGTAATGAAAAATGATGAGCAAACAACTTGTATAAAATTATTAACTTCTGCTGTGAATCACATTAGGAAAATATTTCAGTTGGAAGATATGCATGATGGAATGTATCTGCAATTTTGATTCTTCTTGTATTTGTGTGTGTAACTGTCAAAAAATAAATGTTTATATTGTTTCCTGATTGAATTTCCTCTTAATATACATTATGGCCATTAAGGTGTTGCATTATTTACTTTACTTTTAATGTCGTGGAAGAATATGTGCTATGTAATGTTATAAAAACCAACAAAGTTTATCAGTAGGCAAACCTTAAATAAAAAACAAAAATCTCAATCAATTTAGATTTTTTAACACACACATTGACAGATAACTACAGTTGGCTCCTTACAGCACCCTTTTATTTTCATTATATATATGTATATAAGCTGAGAGACTTCTGTGTACTTTAAGATTTGTGGGATTTCCCATGTATAATGATCAATAAAGAAACGAGCATGAGAGTAACCAATACCATGATTCAGCACGTGGGTGCTCTAAAATACAAAAAATTGCCCCCATGGCATCATCACAACTTGTGGTGTCAGACAGTCACATTTGCATCACTTGTGCAGATTAGTAAGTGGAAGAGGGGGTTTCTTTTTATTCTATTTTTTTTAAGGTCTGAGCATTCATTTTTATCACTTTTTTTAAGTTGCTTCTTGAATGTAATAAAAAAAGCACATAAGTTTTGCAGAACCCTTGAGCGATCTCCGTTGAACACCATTTAAGAAATGTTTCTTTACATTAAAGAGCTTTGCTGAGGGCTTCAGTGCCTATTAGGGGTCAAGCATTAAAAATGCTAGATATAGGTAACTTGACTGAGTTCATATCCTGGCAAATGGGCTGGCCAATGGAAGTTTTTATGGTTTTCCTTTTATATAACATATATAAGAGCCGATTTTCCTTAAAACGTTTTTCATAAAAGCATTCGTCTGCTTAGAGAGAGAGCCTCATATGCTTTGCCATAATCAAAATTAGCCAAGATTTCAGAATGGCTAATTTTCATATTTTTTCATTTCATTGTCATATTCAGCAGTACTGCAAATTTTTATTCTCTGGATCTATGCTGCAAAGAATTTTTCAATCACTCAAATTTTGTATATTGTTTCCTTCATTTATCCATTCCAAAATGTTATTCTTTTAACCTTTGGAGCATGTCTATGAATTGATTGCCAATTACCAGTACTTTCATTTTTAAAATATGTAAACCACATATTTTACAGGACTGAACAATTGGAAGACCATTATATGGCCCATTACTGGTAAGAAAGGCAAAGAATCAATTACTGATTAAGTTCGCTAATGTTATTGATTTCTGCTGTACTGTTTCTAATGCTGCTATATTTTAGTTGTTGCTAGCTTCGTTAACAGAGACTTAATAGAAGTTTGATTTTTAGAGGTTTTACTGTGTTTCATTTAAACTAAGTATTATGAGCATTTGGAATAAGTTATCCTATTGCTTGGCAATAAAACTGATTTAAATTATTTTATGAGTAAATTTTTATTTTTATTTTTTTTAGATGTACCACCTGATGGTGTTGTTCCCACTGCAAAAGATATATGTGCATCACTCCTTCATGGTTATGCTCTTCATATGATGCATCGCATTCATCGAGCATTTATATTTTGTGAAATAAAAAATCTCTTGAATTCAAATAAAAGATCGTTGGTGTTTTCTGGTGGTGTTGCTTGCAACACTTATATACGAACTGCATTAAATAATATGTGTGCAGCACTAAATACAGAATTCTACTGCCCACCTTCCAGACTTTGCACTGACAATGGCATTATGATTGCATGGTAAGTGAAAATATTTATTATCTATTAAAGTGCAAAATAATTCTTATTGAATTTTACAATAATTTATGAATTAAAGAGTATGTTCTGTATAAGTCTAAAATACGCTTGCTCAGAACATTTTGTTAGAATATTTGGATATTTTAATAAATGTAGTTAGCTCTCTTAGTTTATTGTCAAGTGAAATAATGGCTATGCTGTAACAGTTAGAGGTTGGTATTATCATTGCTGAGCATGTTGCATCATTTGGAAGTTCTCTTCAAATTGGAAGTGACTCATTTTTCTGTGAGCAAAAAGGTATTGTCCATCTAAAATTAATTACCATGCATTAAGTGGATGGTGATAAATTTTGTGCACAAATCCGTTATTTGAGAATCTGATTGGTACTGAGTATAATTATCAACAAAGGAAGCTTCATAACTGGAATGAGGAAAATATTATTATTAAATTGATCATTGAAAACAAGAAGCTGCTGATTGCCAGGATGAAACTGGTGTTTTACTTAGGAACATATACCATATCATCGTAAAGCTTGTGAAATTTTTTTTTAAAAAAATGCATTTTGACTGGATACTTTTTATATTGATAGATCAGGTAAGGCACAATATTTCCATACAGCTCTCACATTACTGGATCATTATATGAAGGAAATGAATTCATAAATATAATCTTGAATCAAGAACTTCCAATCTATCATTTCTCAACAGAAATATATGAATATGTGAAATATATGTACAGTACAAAGTCTGAAATCGGGACTTTGGCGATTCTGGATTTGGTATTTTTCCGGATATTAGATCATCAGTTTAAATCTAGTAAGATGGCATATAGAAATTATAAAATTAAAAATATGAAATCATGATTTATGAAATAATGAAGTATTTATGATCTAAAGAGTATCAAATTTAAAAAAAAAAAAAAACTTAATATTTATCTGTTTACCATATTAAACATTTCTTTCAATGTAAGTTGTTTAAGTTGCTTTGTTTTTTGTGCTAATACTTTCTCTTTAATTCTGTAGAAAGACATAATCTCTTGTTTAGTTACATTGTTGAAGTCCTGTAACTGCTGTGTCGAGAATTCCGACTGACTTGTCAATCGAATTTTTTTCGTTTTTTGTAACTTCTCTGTCACTTTTTTCTGGATCTAGAACCATACTACAGATTTCGCAATTTATTAACTGATTGATGATTAAGAAACATTGTCATCACAATGAAAAACTTCTCTTATATCATATTCATTTATTACCGCTTCTTCACATTTCTTTGCGAAATTCGTTAATTGGAAAATTTCACCTTTGTTTTGTGATATACGAAAACCTTTAAAATGTGCAGCTATCATCATCAAATTTAGCTATCATTCACTATACAAATTTGGCTATGCATCATGAGCTTGCCGACTAACAACAAGTTGTTCCGTTAAATTTTATTGTGCTTCTATCGTGCACTGAGACAATTAAGCTTGAATTGTGTTAGTTATTATACTTATGTCTATTTCTTGCACATGCTTAAGACTTATCAGACTTCTAAATAAATAAATTCCCACATATACTTAAGCCTTAATGAGGGCCCACACTAAATATCTCTCTGCCTGATGCAATTTCTGTGGGTCCTAAATTCTGCGGCCCAGTACCACCTTACGGAACCCTGGCACTGGTTCTAGGTTAATGTGAATAACAAATCAGTTATTCTTAATTCAAATAGTCCTAAATGTAATCTTTGGTTCTATGAGTATCGTCAAACAAAATCTATTTTTAGCATATGGAAAGAAATTTTTGTTAAATTTTTCCTTGTCAACATTTTTTAGCACATTTAACTTAAATCTGTAATCATCGCCAAGCATAATGTCAACATAAAAAGGTTACCATACTCCTTTGTTATTCAATTACTAACATAAAAGAAAATTGTTTAGGCATCGCTACATGAGTCATTACCCAAGTTGTCATGTTTTGATAAACATGCAGTGATGATTATCCGCCAGGTTTGTGTCAGATCAATGATGTATATATGTGGAATATTTCGGTTTTAGATATGTACAAAGCAGATACATAGCAACTGAGCTAAATCACTGATCATACAAATGTATACTAAAATGATTGTTTCTTCAATTACAAGGTATTTTATTTATTTAGTGTCGAAGTGAAATTAAGAATCGGGAATCTCCAGATGTTTTATTATGCGCAGAGGGGGGAATCAAATACGCATGCGTAAAGCCTACCAGAAAAACGTTTTTGGTGGTTTTGAGGTCCAGATTTTAGATCATTCCAGGTAATGGACGTCCGGATTTTGGACTTTGTACTGCATATGAAATTTCTGAATGGAAACATCTCAAATTCCCCATTTCTGAAAAAATGTAACTGGTTCCATCTGCAAGTTGATGTGCCTTCTTCAACAAAGAAGGCATTGTGAATCCGGAATTCATGCTGAGAAGATTCATTAATATTGTAACATCCTGTTGTAGAACTTTGAAAACATTGAAAAGGATGATTAAAAATCAATGGCATGAAAAATCTGACAAAAGGAAATTGTGCTTCTCTATGACAATGCAAAATTGCTTTTGGATTACATCTTTAAAAGTGCTAATATCCAGTCTTCTATAACAAGGATTCTGACTTTTCCCTTTTTACTGAAGCAGATGTTTTGCAATGTTTGATGCTTAAACTGTGCCAGAGCCTGGATCTAGTACATCTCAGTTTGCAAGACAAATCTTATTTCTAGGCAGAGTGCAGCAAACCCTTAAATACAAAGGGCTGTAGTACTTCTTTAATGAAACTGAACATAAAAATAAGTCTTAAAAATCAATTGTAACTTCTGAATGCATACTTGTCTTTTTCCAGGAAACAAATCCTTAGATGAAGATTGAGACTTTTAAGGGAAGAACCCATCCCCCTCACATAAACTGTCATGTCAGGATCATATTCTCCAGGAAGTGCAATGAATTGCTTGTTCGAGAATGGGAATTTTTCATACTCAAAAGTAGTAGACATGATCATTTTGAATGTATCATCAGATCCACTGATTCCATATAAGATGCTTCAATTACTCACGATTTGCAATAAAATGACAGAATGAAACATTGTTTTATGTTCTTAAATGCACTTCAAGTTGTAGAGTCTTCTAGTATGTTTTGGAATCATACACTGTAGACCCTAGCTGAAAAGACTAAGGAGCAAATTTTTGCTAGGTCTTGGAAGAACAGATGACTGAAGAAGAAAGTTTAAATAACCTTTTTATTTGAACTTAACAAAAATGCACTCGCTCGATGCTCACAATCTATCACCACTTGTGGCTAATTAACTTAACAGAAGAATAAGATGTAAAATCACTATGAAGTAAGACTGGTTACACGACTGGCTCCTTATTTATCTAAATTACTAAATCAGCTGCATATATAGCAAAGCCAAACCTAGACTATCAATATAATCTAAAGTAGTGGCTAAGCACCAACTACTCATGCATAAAGCTACTTCAGACATGCATAAATTTGAAACTAACTCTCCTATTACAAACTCTTAAAAACTCTGCTTAAGTACTGATTCCAAACTCTCTTAGATTTGCATACTATATCATAAAAATTCTGGCAGGAAACTGAAATCAGAAGGGAAAGAAAGTTTCTGAAATTAAAAAATAATTGGTTAGAATAAAATAAGGTCTTTACAAAGTTACAGCAGACTTAACACATTGAAGCACTAAGGTATTGGCTCGAACACATCCAAGGCTAGTAACTTTCCATGGCACCTGTAGATTTTTTAGAATGATGTAACCAAATATGTGAGAAGAAAATGGTCACTTGCACAGAACTTTATGTTTGCTCTCAGCTTACAGGTCAACCATCGGATTTAGGGAATGTTTTTCCCCCATTGCCAAGTTCTGTTTGATAGCTAGAAGTATATTGGCAGTGGATCATAGTCAGAAAAAATGTTAAAATCTTCTCTATTTGTTTTCATATTTACACCTACCTATTAAAATTTTCTTATATTCTCTTATACTGCTTTCAGCATTCTCTCTTTTTTCGTTAGTTGTACTTTAACCATTTTAATGTTATTCATTCGTATGTTTGGGAAAGAATGATTCTTGTTTCTGTCATCCCTTGAAGTAGTATACTATCAGAGCTTAAGTTCAACCAAAGCCTATCTTCATAATTACATAGTTTTTGAATGATAATGTAATTCCAGCCAGAGCTATAAATAAGACAAGGTCTGATATTTTATCACTTTCCGAAAAGGTCCGAGGGTTAATTTGATTTAATAAATCTTATTTATCCTTCTTAGATTTCATTGAATTTTAATTACTAATTATTTTATTTTAATAATAATAATTATTATTATTAGTCATCAGAAATATTACTATTATTATTGTTGTTCATCAATCTTTTCTGACAGCTTTTCATAGGGCTCTGGTACTTCTAATTTTAGAAATTATGTCATGAATAAAAGTATATTATGAATAGGAGTTAAAAAATTAGCTGATAATAAGTCAAGATAATTTATTTGAAAATAACTCTTCATTATATACTAGAATGTAATTTTATCATGTTTACTTTCATAAAAAGACATAAATCTTGGATCAATCTTTTTGTATTGCATGAAGTACAGCTTATTCAACCTTTTTCAGAGTTAACAGATTTGTTTAATTTTACAGACGTTAATGCTGAAAATAACACTTCACTCAAATGTGTTCTAGAAAATATTAGAAATATGCTTAAGACCATTTCAGAAAGCTTTGAAAATTCTGTCCTGTTCACCAGCCAAAATTCAGCTAACAATTTTATAGAAAACTCAAGATTCAAGCCAGTATCATTTGATAACTTAGTAATTTCTTCATTAGAGCATATATTAATTTTTCTATCGAAAACATATAATTTTACTTTTTAACAATGCAGCTATTTTATTTAAGTGATCTGTTTAAATTATTCAGTTTTTCAGAAATATCTGACAAATAATAGAGAATTTTAAAAGCCATAATTCATTGTGAAAAAGTAAACAAAATTAAATACCTGCTGAC